TGAGAATAGTTTATTCTAAACCATAAGAAAAGATTTAATTAGAAGTTTAATTTTTCTCTATTTCTATTTCACTTTTTACATTTAGTTCATTTTATTTGCCGGAAAGTAAGCCTTAATTTTAAGGACGTTTGATCAATTCACGCTCGCGCATTCTAGTCTTATCTTAAATTTTATAGCGGAAGGACATCTGTGAGCAGGGAATATTAGTCAGCACAGAATGATGGTCGGCGAATTTCTGTAATCGTCCATCGTTCTGCTAGTGATAAGCTAGCCGTTGAATCATTCACTTTTCTTGCTTGTTTGGGGCCGATTCTTATTCCGGTCAAAGAAATAGACAGAGTGTCTGGCAAGGTTCCCAATCAAAGATTTGTGAACTAGTGTCTGGCAAACTCACTTAGTGTTAAAATATACACTGTTATAAGCACCTTATAACTTCATCTGCGCTTAACGAGTGTCTTTTGGTGCATAACTTTCATAACAACTGCTCCACAGAATGTCACTGATAACACGTAAGTAAGGATCCAAGTATGACTGCACAATTTATGTCACAAAATCTACCTATTGTAAGCGGTCCCTTGGGGATTTTTGTTTTACGTCATCCTAACCATTTCGTGCTTGCGAGCGCAAACAATAGAAACGTCATCATTACCTACCGATTCCTCGTGGCCCCTGTTCAAGCAAATCGAGATTTTTTCTATATTGACTGTATGACCGTGTATTTCAACTGTAAGTACTTTCCTTAATATACGCGCGAGTTACTAGATTGCCTCCTCGGGACTTCGCCTTCTGGGCGAAATCCCTGCGGTGGCAATGACCAAATTTGGAAGAATTTTATGTTTAACGAGGAAATGACGTCAAAAATGCAGCCTTTTTGCAGGTTAATGCACCGTTAACCGAGAAGACCTGAGTTGTTTTGGTTGTGAAAACAAAAAATGGCGGACATTTCACTCGTTTCGAGAGTAAGAACTAGCGAAATTATAGCTAAAAACATGGCAAGAACAGCAAGAACACAACTCGAAGGGCGACATCTGCTATTTGGAGAATATTTGCGGAGCTGAACAACCCTAAACGTGCATTATCGAAGGTGAACTTAACATCGATGTAGATAAGCATGTTTTAGCTTTGTTTTTAAACTAGCAATTATTTTGAATGAACAATAAAACAATTATTGAATTCGGCTTTCGTATCATATGAAGAATTATGGAGATCTCGGAGGGTGTTATCCGCCACGGCCTCGACGGATAACACCTTCCTCGATCTCCATAATTCTTCATAAGATACTCAGCCTCATTCCGTAATTGTTAATTTTTAAAACTTCTCTATTATTCATTCAAAATATTTCCCCAATTCTGATTGGATAAAAGCACGCGCATAATTCACCATAACCAGTTACTGATGACCAAATTTGGAAGAGTTTTGTGTTTAACAAGGAAATGACGTCAAAAATGCAGCCCGCTACAGGTTAAGGCACCGTTATCGAGAAGACCTGGGGACGAGGTCGAGTTGTTTTGGTTGTGGAAAAAATGGCGGAAATCTCACTCGTTTTAAGAGTAAGAACTACAGCTAGAACTAAGCGAAATAATAGCTAAAAACATGGCAAAAACATCAAAAAGACAACTTGGACGGCAACATCTGCTATTTGGAAAATATTTGCGGAGCTGGACAAACCTAAACGTACACTGTCGAAGATGAACTTAACATCAATGCAGGTAAGCATGTTTTCTCTATGTTTATAAACTAGGAATTATTTTGAATGAATAATAAAGCAATGAATGAATTTGGCTTTCGTAGGATATGAAGAATTAAGCAGCTAGAGGAGGGTGTTATCCACCGAGGCCGAACTGCCATTTTTGCTTAAAATAGCGCCTTGAAATGAGAAACAAAGCATCAGTATTTGACGTTAAACCCACATTTAAATGATAAAGCAATAGGAGTTCGAAACAAATCATCGAACTGCATCATAGAGCTATGCGATGGCAGAAAAAGAGCGTCAATAAGCTTGAATTAGTCTTTTGGAATTAGTCTATAATTCTACTGCGTTTAATACAAGAAGCTTGTCCTTGGCAAATAGTTTAAATCGAAGTTGTACGCCATGATATGGCATGAAACAGGAAACCTTGAAGCAAATGTAGTTCCAACTTGTCGGTCGGAAAGCCACGTTGGTCATGTGACAACCAATTTTACCTTTACTGGGGTTATCAGTTCATGCCGTAAGAGTAGTCAACAAACGTTTTTACGGGGAGGCTCATCCTGGAGGTCCAGCCTTTTATACAGTCGAACCTCCACTAACAGCCACCTCTATACAATGGTCACATTTTTGGTGGACAGTCCATACATTTATGCTTGTTCAAACCTCTCTAAAACGGCTACTTTCTCCTGTCCCCAAGGTGGCCGTATGTGGAGAAGTTCAACTGTACACCATATTTGACTAAAGAAAAAATACCCCCTCTGTATACCGTCCATTGAAAAATGTTGCCCCTTGAACATAGCTATTAATAAAAATAAAACAGAAAGTCGTTTTCGCATAACGTGAAATAAATTACAATGTTCCATAAGGAACCGCTTTTCGAGGCATTTTATTAAGACATTTCAAATATGTAAAGATTTTGCTACCCTTTCATAGACTTCAACTCGTGAATTACTTACCCGCCCTTTGATATCCCTGAAGGGCGGTGCCCCCCCCCCTGCCTTCCTCCTGGGGGCCTCAGCTTTCTGCCTTGTGAAAAAGGTAACTTGCTATATATTCCAACAGGAATGCATCGCAAACAGCGCTTCGCAATCTTTTTTATAGCTATAGGAAAGCAGCTTTAACTTGTAATCAAAGAAAACTTTAGATTGGACACTTCAAATAGCGCCCTTATGGCGAAACGTTAGGGATCTTTGAGGCATATGACCTAAGTGCACTTTCCACCATAAAGAAGCCTTTAAACCTTTGTTTTTAATAGAATAGCGATGTAAATAGCCTGTGTTACCCTCTGTCGCCTTAAGCTACAACATGCATTTACTGTTACAAGTTTTATCGTGAGAGGAGTCTGAGCAGATCCACTCTGTCTTCAAACTTCCATCTTAAGGAAATTATTTCTTCCTGTAAATGTTAAATGTACCTCAGCTCCTATAACAGCCATTTGTTATTTTTTCTGATCACTATCAGCCCAAAAAGAGCCAAAACTGTCCAAAATGTCAAACTTGAAACTTGATCTGAATGGTAACATGATTATTACATTAATCTCTTAAAGGGATTATTGTTTCATTAATAGCAATTGTGGTGACTTTGATTTCTTTGGGAATACCCAAAGAGAGTCTCAGTTTTAGAAAAAAAATAATGTGAAAAAAATGAATTGAATTCTAACTTTGGCAGCATGTAACAATAAGTTAACCCAAACAACACATAATTATTCTAACTTTTTTTACCTTTTTAAGGATGCCTTGTAGGTATCCCACCTCCTTTTCAAGTCGAGCCATTTCCAGTTCATATTCAACCGCTGATCCAGTTTCCACGTTAGTCTTTTTCATTAAATCTTTCGCTTCCTTTCCATACTCTGAGGCAGCTTCAGCAAGTGGTAAACACAAGTGACCGTAGTGTTCAAGAGCGACGCATTCCCTACAAACTGCATGACCACATTTCTCATAAAAAAAATGGAATTTATCATTGTGTTTTTGGCATATGAGGGATGCAGAAGCAAGCTGAGGGTTTGCTTCCAGTTCCTCAAGGGAGAAAACTTGATGATCACCACTTGCCTTGTTGCGAGTATGAAACTGAGCTGCAGTTTTGCACATGTTTTCTTTGCAGTCAAGGCAGCAGAAATTTGCAGGGTGCTTCTCACCACAAGCCTCGCAATCATGTGAGCCTGTATTACTCCCAACATTTTCTTTGGCTGTGTCATTCACAAGGTCCAATAATGCAAAATTCTTTAACAGTCCTTCCACTCCAGTAAGGAACAGCACCCAGATTTCGGCATGTGGAACAATCAATGGTGTTACCATAGAGAAGTCTCTCCAGACAGCTTGAGCAGATGCTGTGTCCACAACTCAGAAGCCGAGGACACTTGCTTTGGTCATTGTAATGTTCAAAGCAGATTGAACATTCTGGTATCTTCGATGTCATTGCCTAAAATGAATAAATAATCAATAATTTGCCCAAATGAATAAAAAAGTAAGTTTAATTAAAAAGTAAAATGAAAAGAAAAAAAAAGGATCATGCAAATTCAGCATGTTTTAGTCAACTGTTTTCATTGCTTTCATCAGCATCACTGTTCAGTTGCTGGTACTCTTCCCTCCCCAGTATTATTTGGAGGAACCTTTCAACATATTAGTTGGACAATGTTTTTGAAAGATGAGATAGAGAAAAGGACATTAAGAAGATATATGACAAACAAACATAGACTGAAGCACATGAAGCAAATATGAGAATTCTTAGAAAACAGATGCAGCTGCTCACTTGATCTACAGCTCCTGATAGTTTACAGCTGTACATCAGATATAAAAGTGAATCAGTCATTTTACAAACTAAGTAACTATGACAAAAGTAAAGGTACCTTAAAATGAGCCTCTAAGACAGTTACATTGTACCCCATAAGGCAGGAAGTATGTTCTATTCAATAAAATTTTAAGAGTACCTTAAGAGTACCCATAGCTGATTTATAAGTGTTTTATCCTGTTTCATGATGAGTGGTGGGTACCCAAGTGGCTGTTCTATGCAATTGGCCTTGAAACCTTTGCCATCCTAAGTGGTGGAATTTGATAACCATAGTCCTCTAGGGGAGGGGGTTGGGGGAGGGAATTAGGTGCCCATGCTTAATGGGGGAATTCTAACCAAAGCCTCTGTTTCATGTGAGATGCAGAGGCGGTGCTGACCAATTTCAAAGGAATAGATTGAGATGTAAGTAAAAGTAGTGACTTAAGATTTTAATTAGGCATTCACGCACATATTTTTGCTCCCAAAAGAATCTAGGGGAGAGGCTCAGGAGGGGGGGCACCCCCTTATACTGAGGCCCAAAAGG